TTTAGCGTGTGTTAACGGAACTTTGACCAGGCCATGCGTCACACACAAGTACCCAGCGTCTCACTGGCACTGCTGACCTGTGCCCGCCTCTGACCCTCCCATATCTGACCTCTGACCCGCCCGTCCACAGACCTCCTGACATCAGACAGCGGCCTCTACACGTGCACCGTCACATCATCATCGGCCAAACCTCTGCCTCAGCGCGCCTCACAGTCGCCAACCCGACCAACCCGAACGTCAACTTCCACCGTGTGGCCGAGCCGGATACCTACCCCTCTGCGCCTCAGCGACCGCGGTCACCGCACGGAACGAGACCTCGGTGACTCTCTCGTGGCGGCCCGGCCAGCAGATTGGCGCCTCGGCTCTGCGGGGCTACACGGTGGAGTACTACAGCCCGGATACAGCAGACGGCTGGGTGACGGCTGTGCAGAGAGTGGCAGCAGAGACGGTGACAGTCACCGGACTCCGTCCCGACACCACGTATGTGTTCGGAGTCCGGGCAGAGAACGGTCAGGGGTTATCCCCACTCTCCGAGCTCTCGACACCGGTACATACGCTCGAGGCAGCCACAGACGGCGCAGAGGACGCAGAGTGGCTGAGGCAGCCCTGCGACTGCAGGAGTTCACCGTCGAGCTGCGGAAGGCGACGCCGATCTCCTCCACCGCCGTCAGACTCACGTGGAAGGTTAGTGAGGTATAGCGCCGGATTCACGGGAGGGAGAGTTGGTGTTATTTTGATACGGTAAATTTTGAGTTGGATAGTGTAGAAGATTAGCGTTGATCGTTATAATTGGGTGATTCTTGGCATTAGTGATGTTTGTGTGAATATTAAGTGCATAATTAAATGGTTTTAGTGCGTAGCTTTGAGTGCATCTTCGTTAGTTAATCCCTATGTTAGCGTAAATTATTGTTATTCGACGCTCCGTAGGACGTTCATAAGACGTTTCACTTTGCGTTCCCTGCAAAACAGCTATTTAATTTGATGCAGTTACATCGCTTGGTAGGAACAGACGCACTCAAATTAATGAAGGTAGGTCGTCGACTTGCAATGCCAAGCCGTCTTCCATACATTGAATACCAAACTTTAGCACAAAGACCGGGCTTAATCACGGAGTGGCTGAGCTTGAACGTGTCAGTTGGCGTTGCAAATACGTTGCAAAATCTCGTTAAATATCACGAGAAACGCGGATGTGTCTGGATCAAATTAAAACAGCACTAGCTGAGGACAGTGTAAGTTTGAACCTCAAGATGCGATATCGTCCTTTGTTCCACCAAAGGCGCCGCCAACTTCTTAGCTGGTATTGAACTTTGACGGTTCGCTTGGACGAGTTGAAGGATGTGTCCAATATATCAGCCTAATCATGGACCGGATCCATCATTTCCGCGAAATTTGTCTCGCTACAACGCGTCCTTCCCCGTCAAACGAATCAAAACTCATTTTCAAGTTTTGACACGGATTTCCCAAAGAGGCCTTCATTACGCGATAACCGGAAATTGTTCTTCACGAATTCTGAGAACATGCTAAGCCGCATTAGCATTTCTTATTGGCTAGGATCAACGTTCTATGTATTCCACATACCACAAATTTCCCTTTCACTCGTCACTAACTTCCTCCCCTCCTCTCTCTTCCACAGCTTCTAACAAACTCGTGTTCATCGAGGGATTTCTGATCCGCTACCGTAACCTGGAGACGGGCAAATACGACGTGCTCAGCATCCACAACTCTGGCGGCAACGAGTACATCGTGGCCAGCCTCAGCAAGTTCACGCGCTACCAGTTCTTTGTGGTGCCGTTCTTCCAGAGCGTGCTGGGAAGGCCCTCCAACATCGAGGAGGTCCGCACCAACGAGGATGGTGAGTGAAGCGGGCGAGGCAGGGGACGATCATGATGTCGATGATGTCACCGTGATGTCTGACGGCATGTGTGTGGTCTCACCGTTGGAAGGTGGTTTGTATGAGTTGGTTCGTAGTTGATAGTTGAGTCAGAATGCTGCAAGCAGGTGTTGCTTCTTTTTGTCCAAACACGCTCCTCACATATGTTCTTGGTAATGGCTATATGGATACCGGGTACCGCCCGATACCACATATCTGGATAATGGATACCGTCTGGACCTGAAAATTAGGCTCGTTCTTCATTTCCCTGTCTTCGGTTCAACTTGTTTCAACCAGCCTGTTTCAACTTGCAAAGTTCACGGTTCAGACTACCACATCTGAACCCCCGCTCTACCATTCACTCCCCTAACCCTCTAACCCTCTCTCCGCAGTGCCGAGCGGCCCTCCGCTTCGCCTGGAGGTCAGCACCCTGAACTCGACGGCGGCCGGCGTATCCTGGCAGCCGCCGGCGCCGGAGCACCTGAACGGCGTCACCACCGGCTACCTGCTACACCTGCGCCAGCAGGCGTCCAGCTTCCGCTTCAACGTCACCGTCAACGCCACCACCACGCAGGTCAGGGCATATAATGTAGCATGGCGATCGTTGTGGCTCTTATGTTTCTGCGTTGTTTTATCAGAAGCGATTTTGCCTTTTCGCTGACGCCCCAAATTGGCTTACATAGACCATGGCTACCATGGGTTTGATTTACTTAATGTAAAATCCTATATTACTTTTGCGGAATGGCTTCTTGCACATTGAGCATTTGCTTTGAAATTGGTTATAAATTTACGGTATACCTAATGTCCTAGGCTTAGTTGTTGTGTTTCGCCGTAAAGTCACCATTGCAAAAGAAATTCACTAAACACTCCCACTAAACACCGTCTCCCTCCCTCACAGGTGATTCTGAAGAACCTGACCGCCGGGGCCGACTTCCTGATCCGCACTGCGGCAGTGAACCGCGCGGGCACCGGCCCCCTGTCTCCCGCGGTCGCCTTCTCCATGTCCCCGGGCGGGGCGGCGGCAGCGGCGGGGCGGGTGACGGTGTCGGCGGCCGGCGCCCGACCCGCGCCTGGCCTCACCGGTGAAGAGTGTGGTCAGTGAGGTGTGGTTCATCGCTCTGATCGGGACGCTCGTCGTGGTGGCGCTCACCGTCTTCGTGGTGGTCGTCTACTGCCGCCGTCGGGAGAAGAAGGCGCTGGGAAACCTAACAGGTGAGTGAAAAACGTATGGTTGAGTGTGTGTACGGACAAAAGACATGTGCCCGAAAAGAATACGCTCGACATTCCACGTCAAATAAGCTCATTTCTCACCGTTACGTAATCTTTAGAGCTATAATATTTCAAAAGCTTTAAGCATCATTCATGTGAAGTTTTAGAAACGTGGGCTTAAGTTACACAACTTTATAGTTAATGTGGGGAATGGAATGTTAAATGCCGGGATAACCAATGATGCACGCGACTTACCAGTCATGTGCCCGGCCTTTGATTCATTGAGCCGTCTCCAAACTGGCCATCGCGTGGTCTGTGATTCAATAGCGTGAGCACTGTATATCGTTTATCCGTGCCAAAACTAGCAGGGCGGTATTTCATTTCTTGTAAACCTGCGTGCCATTAGGTTTGGCTGGGAATTCGAGACCATTGTGAGGTCATCAGGATCGCGCAGGTGCTATCGGTGTGAATCGATCATTTTTATCATTTATTAAGCAAAACAGAGATCTAGAATTTCACCGGAAACCATCAGTAGACCTCAAATAGTTACACATCGCTTTGGTCTTTCCAGTATCATCTACAACAAAGGTAAACGAATGCTCTTTGATCTAATCCATTCCGGCGCGATACGACCAACCCTCCCCCCTCTGACAATATCTGACTCCGCCTCTGCTGTGACCCGCCAGTGACCTCTGGGAAGCCGGACGACATCTCGCTGCTGCCGATGCAGGGCGAGCGCGGTCCGCTGTGGATGGACGCCTCGTTCCAGCGCGGCGACTGGCGCGGCCAGTTTCAGAAGGAGCCCGAGACCAAACTGCTCAACTGTGACGTGGGCCTCGTGAGCTCCGAGTACGCTGAGCTCGACCAGAGGAACGTCAGCACGTTCTACGGCGCGCCCGTGGCCGGTCACCGGGCCGGACAGGTGAGGAACTGGGAGAGAAGGGCAGCAATAGGGAGGGATGAGACGGGGATGGGTCTACCATAGGAAAGCATGCTGCCTGTGTGGCATAAATGGAATGACCACGTTGTTGTGCATAGTGTTTGAGAAAGAAAGTAACGATTTGTTGCAAGATAACGATATGCTGGATTCGGAAAAAGACCAGAAGTGCTGGATTGTCCAGAAATCACTGACAGTTTAGTGGCAAGGAGATGTTACTTGGAGGATGGACGGGAAAATGGATTGAGCAAAAATCATTACACGGCTTGTTTCGGATTTTCATCAACCTTACTACTCGACACTCGTGTCCTACAATCGACTCCGACGCAACCACTCAACACGCCCCACTGAGCCCCTCCATGACCGTTCGACCCGCTCCTCAGGAGGACCCGGCTCCGTACGCGACCACTATGCTGCTGCCTGGCTCGGCGCGCCACCCGCTGCCGCCAGCTCCGGCTCGGACGAGTCCACGCCGCGCCGCTCGGCCTCCTCCGACCACTCGGGCCAGGTGAAGAGGTCCGGGTCGGACTTCTGCTCCGGACCCCGGCAGCTCTGGCTCCGGCTCCGGAGGCAGCCAGCACAGAGGTGGGTGGCCGGAGAGGCGGGGAGAGACGGTGGGGTGTAGCGGAGGAGCGCGAAGGCAGAGAGGAGGCTATTTTTTGGGTTAGGCCCTTTCGGTCTTACAAGACCATTTCAGAGCCGGAATGATGATAGGAATTAGGGGGAGACATTGGTCTGGGCGGGCACCCTAGTGAGTCGCCGGGGCTGAGCCCGTCCAGAGGACAGGCCACCCAGCCCCAAGGCACTCACTGCACCCGGCTACGGGGTGCGCTCCCTCGGGAGCAGCGGTGCCGCTCCAAGGGAGCAGCCCGCATGAGATAAACTTGCCTGTCTAGCCCGGAGGGGGGCTGCGGCGTGGAGGAGAAGGATTTCAGTATCCTGAGGATAGAAGCACGGAACCGTGACACAAGCTTGCACAGGGGCTGACATTCCTCCTTTTCACCCCGCAGGCTCGCGGACGCCGTGTTTCGAGGCACACCCCGGTATGCCCCCGTCTCTCGACTTCAATGAGTTCGCGCCACCGCCGCCGCAGTTCCCGCCACCGGACCTGACGAGTGGCGCGCGCGCCGCGCACTTCGCCCACCACCCTCAGTCCGGCTCGGCCGCCTCTGTGCGCGGGCTGGGCTCTCCGCGATCGCAGCGCCGCCACGCGGCCAGCTCGGGAACTGGTAGTTCGCGCTCGGCCCGCTCGGCGTGCGGCCGTCAGCCGCTTTACAACGTAAGCGGCGAGCCGCGAGGAGAGATGCGAGCGGAACCCAGCTGCGGTGAGGACGATTACGAATACGAGGCGGCACCGCTGATGAGTCGCGGCGGTCGGGAGCGGCGCGGGCGACCTTCCCGCGGCGGCGAGCCGCGGCTGCAGCTTCAGGAGCGTCCCGGCGCTCCTCACCTACAGCTGTACGGCGCTCCTGAGGAGTCAGAGCTCTCCGAGCGTGCCAGTCCCGAGTCGTCGGTGAACGGCGAGGCGGGCGGCAGCTGGGAGCCCACCTCCTGTGACGAAGAGAGCGAGCTCAGTGACACAGACGTCGGCTACAACGAGGCGGTGCTGCGCGCGGCTCAGCAGGCCGGGATCACGGTGTCGGGCAGCCGGTCGGGGCGGCGGCGGCACTCTCCGCACCAACACTACTCGACAGACAGCACGTACCAGGGCCGGCCGGCGCGGCACCACCGGAAGCGGGCCCACCCGGCGGCCAGCAGCCTCGACAGGGCGCACCCGCCAGGTACGTGTCCCATCTCTCCTCCCTAGACTGGCGCCACGGTCGACTTAGATATCAAGGTCAGAGTACGCTTGTTCAGGATAATGGTCTTAGTTCTTTCTGTTCCATATCTACTAGAGTTGCAAAGTTTTCCCCAAAGGCTGCTACCGGCACCGCCCCGCCCCACAAAAATTTTCTGGGATACCGGCATGCTACCACGCCCCAAGCAAAAAAACCGCCAAATTACCGGCATACTAAAAAACCTGCATTCTTGATTCTAGCTTACCCCTACAAGAGATGCCACATTTTGGCATGCAGTACCTGTCCCACCCAGCAGCCATCCATTGTCCAACCACAAATACCAGCAGGCTGATTTTGGCTGAGTTGGCCCCACAACCCACAATTTTGAAACTCAATTTCAGTCTATAACTGTTAAAATATCACCTGTAATCAAAGCGGTATTGCCTACAAAAAACTAACACATTCAGCAAAAAGGCGAGGACAAAAAGAACTTGAATTACTGAAATGTGTTTTTAAAGACTGGACAGTGAGCACTGAGCAGTAATCACATTTACATTTCACAGGTGTTCTACTTTTCCACATTTTCCTAAAATGTTGCAGGCCCCAGCCAAATGTTTAAAATCTAGATGGTCAAAACATAAACAAGTACAGATTCGGCCATCTTCCTAACTGAGGAAGCGAGATCAACATCTACTGTTTCCTATCCACCATGGCTTGCTGGTTCGTGAATAAGATACGAATCATGTAAAAAAATGAGTTAATAACTCACTGGTCCTGAGAACAGTCACCAAACAATATGTATAAAAACGATATCTTCCATCCTCTCCAACCTCAAACGGGAACAAACAGAAGGTTATGAAGGATTTCGAAACAAATGCGCCATAACAGAGGCTTTTAACCAGCTGAATAAAACGCTGCAAAAAAAGGTTTACGACTGCAAGCCACTGCCTCGTGAATGATTATATTAATAAAAATTATCCAACACAATATTAAATTATAATGAAATCAACAATGTGAGTGTAATTCACTACAAGAATATTCATTTCTCTTCAGTTATTCAACCAAAAAAGGGTATATGAATAAATACCTATTATGTCATCAGATTACATCCATTCATTAGGGGAGAGAGCATCTCAATCTTAAAAGTAAATCCTTGGTTGTATTATTTTGCGCCACTTCGTGTCAATTTTGCCTTCATGATGTGTTTTCTTGTAAAGATAAGACAAAATGTCAGTTCAAATCCATTTTCATTTAATTATGGGACCAAAGCCAGGCTCAGGGCTACCTGACACCTGCCTTTTCAGCTGGATTGTCAGTGTCAAATTCTTTGTAGACTGTAGAGTTTCTCAGACCACATCTCATGATCTCAAGACTCAAGGCCAGTTTCCAAACAATGTGTTTTTTGGTGTTTTGATTCTGCCTTTTCCCCTAGGGAATGTTGTCATGAACATTTATTTATTTTATTGTGTTATACATATTACCTACCATTAGACTTACTAATTGATCGTGCTTTTGCAACATGAATGAGTACTGTTAGAAATCGTGCACACGTCCTTGTATTCTGCTCCAATACACTTCAGCTTACCATTCGTGGTCAAGCGCACCGCCTGACTGACTCACACACATAACTCACTTCAATCGTCGACTCAATAACAATAATCGACACACATTATGAATAACACGTGCGCCTTCAACACTGGCGTCCCGCGTCTTCTATATTCCTAACAGTACCATTCCAATTCTTCCTTTTGTAGACCACAGTAGATTCTTGACAATTCTAATTATAACCAAGCCTGTGAAATGCTGAGGTCCATGTGTTACCCCTACCCTTAGCAATGGAACTTCTACCACAAAATGTATCTTGCAGTGGTTAATATTGCTGTTTTATTACAATTTGAGAGCCCCTTAGTGTCCAAAGTTTGAATCTTTGCTGATTTTTTTTTGCACAAAATCAAAAATACCGGCATGCTACCGGCAAGACATGCCAGATACCACGAAAAAACCTGCGGTAGTGAAAAAATTACCGGCATGCCGGTAGTGCGGTAGGGAAATTCTGCAACTCTAATATCTACAATGTAATATCAGCCAGACACAAGGCGCCTTTGTTTTGTATGACGTCTGGCGTTGGATATGATCTACAGCGAAGTATCTTTTCATTATCATTTCACCGACAGGGAAGTGTCGTGAAAATACACCAAACATCCATCAGTAACTGTAACGGTTCCTGCCTCACCAGGAATAATAAATCACTGCATGCCTCATAACTCTGTAAATGTCTTAGATTTCCCCCGGGCCTTTGTCCAGCATTCCGCAGTCCGCATTTCCAACATTCAAACGGCTCTACCCGTTCACAGGACCTGCGCCGGAGAGCTTCGCTCAGCGTGATTACCGCCTGGGGGAGGGACGCGGGGTAGACGAGAGTGGTCCCTTGCTGGTCAACGGCGCCACGTGAGCAGCTGATTGTGCTCACGGACCGGCAATGAACACGACGAACTGAACAGACTCATCGTCGAGTCCGATATCCGGCTCCCGAGTCAGGCCGGCTGATGGCTCAGAGTGAGATGAGCTAGAACCCTCGGCGAGGGAGAGTCAGTGTGCTAGTGAAGACTCGTGACGAGACATGCTTGTGCCACGATGCGCGTTTGTAAGCAGTGCGGTGCGCTAGTTGATATTGTGATCCGTATATTACGTTGTGCGCGCTTTGAGATTGTGTCCATTCATGTGATTTTGTTAAGCCTGCTTTTTACTTTTATAGAAGCGTTTTTTCATAGTTTCACATCGCTGCGTCCTTTCTCCCAGTCTGTTTTGTTCAGACAGTATGCTTAGTCTCATAGGTTTTCTACGCTTGTTACCGACAATACCATAACCGTTTTTCAGGCTTCTGTGATCTTTTGATCATCATTGATCACCGGCCCCGTATGACCACTTTTGTCGCCCCCTGGCCTGCCGTTGTTCCATTTGAACACCACTGTTGCAAACTGACTTTTCTGCGTGAACCCATTTAGCGAGCTGTCCGAGGTCCTCTCTGTGTGCGTGTTGGTCTTCTGTAGTGCTGATAACAGTTGGCATTGTTACCTATTGTCAGGTGCACCCGACAGTAGCGCTCGGGCCCGAGCCGAGAGGCGGCGTGTGTTTTGTGCGTGCACAACCGGCGTAGGAGGGCGCACGGGGCGCTCGCTGCGCCGACCGACCCTGCCGCTACCCTCGGCGGCGGTGGGGAGAGAGTAGAGACCGCTACCATCCTGGTAGAGACCGCTACCATCCTGGTGACGCACGTACAGGCTGTGATAATTTATACACACGCGTCTCGGTGTGTGAGGCGGAGAGCGCCGGCGCGCAATAATTCCCCTTGTGATTGTGCGAGGACCGGACAGCGGCGGCGCGCGGCGGTGGCGGCGGCCCGATCTACTAGTCACGAGCTCAGACTCCCTCTCGGCTCCGTCAGATGCTGCTACTACCGCCGTGCTGCCGCCTCGCTCCCGTCCCCCTCTATCTCCAAGTGAGCGCGCTTTGTCAGAATATACGATCCAGATTCGTGCTGGCTCTTTGACGGTTGTGTCAATCGGACTGCAGAAATATCGGGCTCTCGAGGAGTGGAAACCATCGCATCGAGAGCAGCTAGGACGCTGGAAGGAGGTGTTTCGTAGAGGATCAGGAAGATAATGGTCCGCATGTTCCCTGATAATACAGACAGTTCGACTAAGTTTGGAGATATAATTGTATACCGGCGAAACGTAACGATAGCTTTTCTGCTACGCAACAGCCGTAACGATCCTTCTTCCGTGGAACGATTCTAGTTGGCTAGGTGTTCGAATTTAGTATCGATGCTCTAATTATGTGCGTTTGACAAGTTTTAGCTGACTGACGTGCCTACAAAAGAAAACAACTAATTTCCATGCACTGCGCCTACAACTAATCTAAAAAGCAGGGAGAGAGAATCAGCACGATAGCTTAGCTGTCACTTCCCTGGAAACGAAATAATGATGAAAAACTCCATTGTCAATAAGGTTTTCGACAAAACCACACATCATTTGTCATATGGCACCCAGATTGTTGGCAGACAGAGTGCCATCCCTTGCCGTATGCAGGAATTTCAGCTGGTGAAACCACCTCCACGGGACATAAAACTATTCACAACAGCTGTACCGTCCGTTCTGTCGAATCATGGTGGGCATAGCTCGTGGCCAGCGAACAAAGGTCACGCGCTCAACTCTCAAGTCGCTAAGTGGTCGACCTTATCTGTAAGTGTAACTGCAGTGACGTTAGAGGAACTCCTCCCAAACGGACTTCTCCCGGCACGTGACGCTTCACAGTGGTATGGTCACATAACTACCGACTGTGAGTCGGCTAATTTTGTCTGAGACTCCTCGCCGTGCCTTATATGAAGGGTCGTAGGGAGCGAAGTTCGAGCAACATTGCTCTTTAGGAAGGTCGTTTGTCTCACCATCGGGACGGCACTCGAAACCATTAACGTCACAGATTAGCGATGACTTGGGGCGCACGAGAATGACGCCACATCGCACGTCATAAAATAACATCTGAGGTAAGACGCTCCTCGATTCTGAAAGATCTTAAAGCGAGCTATCTATTACTTTTTCCGCGTCTTTTTAGCTGTCTTACGTTCCGAGATAACTTTTTGCGGCCAAAGTTGCGATATTTTAGAGTCGTGCTGATTTTCACTCACTTTTTAGAGTTCTTTTGCCTGAGGTTCACTTTTTAGAGTCGTGCTGAGGTTTATATATCTCAGCATAACTCAAGTAACCATCCAAACATATCCAGCATCCACCCCATCGAGACGAAGTGACCCTTCTTAAAGGAAAAAGTCTCTGAGGGGAACTGGGCGGCCCTTTAAATCAGCACAACAGGCAAACAGGATCTGCAGAAAAGTCCGCACGGTTCGTCGGAAGGTCATGTCAGGCTCAAAAGAAACGATACATACGATTCGAAAGCTGACTGTAAGCTGAATCCAACAACGTAGTTTTTATCAAAATCGATCAATGGCTTTTTCTGGAAATTGCGTTTTTGTTAAAACTTTATATTTCTGATTCAACGGGCTGTCCGGGCATTCCTGAAAACATAAACATGCTTATTTCGAGTTCCAGTGAAATCTGAACGCCAAAAGAACAATATGTAGCGAAGCAATGTTTCCAAACACTAATACGCATATTAAATACGCATATTAAACACGTCTAATACGCATATTCCACTTCCAGGCAAGTTTCGTGAAGAAATATGGCATGACGTCTGAACTATGGCATTTTGATATTGGTCCACTCTTTTAGGGGACAGATGTTATTCGATAACCGTTTCGAAGTTTCTCTAAACGTTCTCATTCTTGCATTGAGTGGTTATCGTACCTACATGTCTTTTCCCAATTTTAGTGCGTTTTGCTACACTAATAACAGAGCTGGGAAATTTTTGCCTCGGACGGGATGCGCGGAGAAAAGTGGACTGCGGGCAGTGGGCAGCTCCAAATTCCATAAGTTGTTTCCATTCGGAATTCGGATGACAAGCGTTATTAATGCTGAAATGCACTACCATGTGTTTAACTCCTGTTTACACATGGTAAGTTTAATGTTTGTCCCCTCCGTGGCCGAGTGGATTAAAGCGCCGGAGTCCGACGCTTTGCCGGTAGTGAGAGCCCGGTTCAAGCCCCGGCGCGGGCGGCCACATTTAGCTCCTACGTGTAATGGCGTGCGTGTCTGTGGCAGGGGCCGCACAGAAGCCAGGTAACGTGAGTGAGCGAAGGGGGCCGTGTCCAGTCGTGAGGGCACGTTAAACGTTCGGACAAAATTCTGCCATACAACTGGAATTGCGCGATCGGGTGGTGGGGTCAGGGTCAGCACAACAAGCCATGCTTAGTGCGGGCTCTGATTCCTCAAATCCACCCATTCAACCATTCGGACTAAATTTATAAAAAAAACTCGGCCGCGTTTCGGTTTACAAAAAAAAAACTCATTCAGTGTTTTTCCATGATTGTCCTTGTACCATTTGTTTACCTATAGATGGAAAGATGACATAATAAACATCCATCCTCGTTTAAATCTCGTTGTTCAAAATCAAAACAACTTTATTCGTAGATGAGGCATCTCATGTCGAGGTATGTTCTCATGTCGAGGCAAATAAATCGCCGGTGTGCTGTTTGAACCGGGGCTTAGGGCAAAATGGCTAAAATACATAAGTCTAAGGGTTTGCCAATACCTATCTCCTATCCTACAAATTATGGGATGTGAACGCCCTTGGGAATGAAACAAAGCTGAAACAAAAGGCACTTTAATTGGGATGATATTGGTATAGGAAGAATCTTTCCCAAGTTTGAAAATGAAGGGTCAGTGTCGTAAAAAAGCGTTAGGGTAGCCCCTTTGCCCCGGTCTCCACTTCCTATCAAGCAGCACATGACACATATAAAGTAAATCGGGTATTGGATTGAACTCTAATTGTGTTCGTCGTCTAAGAGTGATAAAGAAAACATAAATGACTTTGTTCATACTTCATAATTTCGAAATGTCATGCATAGCTGACGGCGACCTATTCTGCAATCTCTCACTTGCGAAATCACGCTCAACCGCGAGCTCACTCGAGAAACATATCGATCGCATGTCGAGATAAAGACAATACTGTATCTTATCCGTTGGATGACACTAGCCCCACGCGCCTGGTGGTAGGCTGCGCCGCAATGCACCGACAATCCTGCCGCTAGATGGCACTAACTCTGAGCGCCTGGTGGTAGGCTGAGCCGCAGTGCACCGACAATCCTGCCGCTAGATGGCACTAGTGATGGACGCCTACATGGGCCATACAATACATGCCTAAGCGGCCATACATGCAATAAAACAGTGGGTTCTCGAAAGCAACGTTACGGAATAGAGTGAATGCTGATTGCTGATACGATTGCCCCGGTGCCCCCCCCCCCCTTCCGCTTATGCTTCAAGGGACGAGCTATCGCCGTACGCTCAAAATGTCGGAGGAAATTCTACGCTGGTGTGACCCATAAGAATTCATAAGGTCACAATATCAGTATCCTTGCTTTTATTTCAGTTTCAGCTAAGGATTATAAAGGCCAAGCCTTTTTGAGGTCGAAAATGGCAAAACGTGACGTCATCCTAACTTCATTTGTGACCAACCCATCATAGCCTGTTTTTTTTTTCACAATATGTAAAATTGGTGCCCGGAGCGGTCCTAAAAGTTTGGTGACGATATCTGCAGTCGTTTAGGAGACATTACGGAAAAGGACAGGGAGGCGTTTCGCCCCCCCCCCCCACCCACGTTAAGGGGGCGTGGGTTATTTTTTTTCACGGGAAAGCTTACCTACATCTATTTATTTATGGCAGGGGGGTTGTTTTCATTCACCCCTCAGGTTTTTTCGAGAATATCTTCAAAACGGCTGGAGCTAGAAAGCTGAAATTTTCCTAAAACTTAACTGGGCACATTCCCTGAAAATTCAAAGTTGATACGTTTATCAGAGGTGGTTCCAGGGCATGGGGAATTGGGAGGTCGTATTCGTGAAGCGAGTCATTTGGGTGAAGATCACGATGCTGATGCATAATAACTGCAGTTGCCGGCCGCTTGCATTCAGTAGATAAGCTTATATCTCAGCTTCCAATCGTCCAATCGACACCGTTACAAGCACCAATCGATAACAAATTTAAATACCTAGCCAAGTACCAAGTACCTACTTTAACAAGTACCAAGTAGCCAAGTAAGTAGTTATTTCTGCATGCACTTATGTAGTTACATGTACTTTAGCAGTTTTTTCGCAAATGTCTCAGCTGCCAGACGTCCGATCGACACAGGACGGACACCAATCGATCCCAAATTTTATGCTTGAAGTTATTTTTTGGCCAGCAATAAGTACAGCCCTCAGCACACTGCTAGGTATTCTTTTTTTCGACAAAACCGATAATACCTCAAATCAAATACTTTGTTATCATTCAGTTGGAAATTATTGCACATAAATGTGCCACATGCTCCACTTGTTCGATTGTGCCTAACAATATCCCTGAACAATGTATACGCATAGTGTAGTAACAAAAAACAAAGGTTTGGTCGGATGTCTATCCGAACACCAATCGAACTCATTTTTTTAAACTTTCAAGCATTTTGGCAAGTGACAAGTACATGTGCAAGTACAGCAAATTCTTCGTGAAAATCTCAGCTTCTAGAAGTTAAATTGACACAGGACAAACACCAATTGATCCCAACTTTTATAGTTTCAAGTTTTTTGGTAGGTAGCAAGCATATTGGCTCTGGCAAGTAGGTACAGCAAGTTTTTGGCGTATATCTAGGCTTCTAAAGTCCAATAGACACGGGAAAAACACCAGTCGATTCTAAATGTTATGACTAATCATTTTAAGGCCAACGCAATGCGAAGCGAGCGCAAGATATCTTGTAGTTGTACCTATTTTTGTTTAGCTTGAGACCGTCCGACTCGACTGCACCTGTGCGGGTCGGGTAAGTCATCGTGTGACTTTGTTTACCACTTTACGGCCGCCGAGCCGTCCAGCAGCTGCTCTGTACGGATTTTATCCATCCTAGCAGGAATTAATCTCACCCTACGCTACATTTACCTACTAACTTCATTCAGACTTCAAATGGTTGGGCTAAGGGTGTTTGATCCCTGACAACATAGTTGGCTCCCCTGTTTGGATGTGCTGGACAATTCTACGTGAAATGGATGTCAAAAAAGTAGAAATCGAAACACTCTTAATTCCTGCTAGGATGGCATAAGTCCCTACGGTGAGCTTGCCGTGCGCTGCTGTCGCAGGGCGGAGCAGCGCTGCGGCGCAGTCTACCCGGCGGGCGCTCGGCCACGCCGCGCGGAGCGTTCCCTTATTGGCGGACCGTGGGTCACGTGACCAGCGGTCGATGTGGGGTCAGGGCCGCGGCGGCGGGACACTCTGGCACGAGAGTTGGTGGGGACCGAGTCGTTACCCGTATGGTGAGTTTATCGGGGTCGGACTGCTTAGCCGGCTCCGTCAGCTCGCTCCACGGCGCAGCAGCGCGACTTGTTGAGAGCCGGTGAATGGGACTGATGTCCTATTCTAAGGTTATGGTTGCGCTGGGCCGTTTACCAGGGAGGTTGAACTGCAGTCCTTCCACGACTTTGGCAGCCCACCTTTCCCGACCTGTCTCCATCCCAGTGTCAATAATATCATGAGGCAGGACCTAGCGAAACGGGTGTTTTAGCGCGACACGACCTTACCGTGGTTTGATCCCTCGCCCGTGCTGGTGGTTTGCCAGCCACGAACGGCAAATTGGGGATTTGGCCCATGGTCGAGCTAGAGCTGCGCGAAAAACTAGCGTGCTGTCAGTGACGAAAGGACCGGGTGCACTATAATTAGGCTCAGTTCCTCACACATCGTGACAGGTAGGTATTTGCCCAGTCCTTTTGGGTCTTAGTCGTAGCCCACTGCGTTGATTTCGTCACTTTCTGTATCTTCTGGCAGTATCTGTGCTCTATAGAACTTCGCTTAGGATAGGTACTCAAAGGTTTATTCGCAGAATAGGCAAAACAGTTTCATAATATACATACATTCATACATACATTCATACATACATACATTCACAGACATATTCATAGAAATAGACTAAGTATCAGTAATACAGTCGTATCTATCACATAAAAACCTTTGTGGTCACGAATCATTTCCGGGAGCACTCTTCATGACGTATGTATTCTACCCTTGCGTAGGAAGTAGAAACACTATCCCAAAGTTTTCATCAATCCCTAAAAAGAATCGGGTTCGATATCCAGAGGTTCATCTCTCACATGCCCTCGAGGCTTGAACGTGAGCGTCGCCGTGAGGCCGACGGAGACCATGCCTCCGGCAACAAGGTACAGCTCTGCGAAACCCAATTGCTCAAACACCACCTCGGAAGCGTAAGCAACCAGCGGCAAGCACAGCGCTGCAGTCAGGAAGATGACGCCGTAGATTTGTCCCGCGTGCTTGGGACCGAACGTCGCCGCGGTGCCTGTCAACACTACTGAGTAATTGCCCGATGCGCAGAAAAAGATGCACCATAACCAGACGAGGAACACCCCCTGAGTGGTAAGAGACGTCGAGGGGAAGGTGAACAGCAGGGCGCCAAAAAGACCACTGAAGAGAACCATTGTGGGCTTGTAGCCCCAGACGTCGCACACGAGGCCCCACACCATGCGTCCGAGCATGTTGAATACAGAAGAGCCCATGCCCACCATCGCCAGGAAGTGGTCGTCCTTGATGAATGTCTGTCCAAATGCCTTCCAGAATGAGTTGATCATGGTCATACTGTAGGCGTTCATGACAAAGCCGAGTAAGAGTTGAAGTGTTTGAGCGGTTAGCAGATCTTTCCTCCATGCTTTGGGATCGTCTGCTTCAGCCCCGTTCGTGAAGTCTTGCTTTTCCGGCAAGCTTTCGCCGGCATCTTGAGCTCCCGGTGCGTCGCCTTTCACTTCAGTCTCCTCAGACAGTTTTTCACCATGTCCTGGTGGCGGACGACGCACGCCCAGCACTCCACACAACTGCAGAGCAGCACAAATCGCACCCTGTATCAGAAACAACGACGGCACACGGTCCAGCAGCGCATCGTCGTGGAAGAAGCCGTCGTCCTCTGTCGAGACGTTCTCTGGGTTCAGGTAGCTGGTCTGCACTGAGGTGAGGATGATACTGCCGAGGCCGTAACCGCCTATCACAAGACCGCTAACCATGCCGCGGTTGTGAGGGAACCACTCGTGACCCATCACCATTGGCGTGGTGTAGGCCAGACCAACGCCGAAGCCACACATCAAGCCATACGACAGGGTAGTGGCGGCAAACGAAGTCTGTATGGTGAGACACGTGAGTGCCATACCGACCGAGGAGAGCACACTTCCAGCGAGGATCGTCAGACGAGGCCCAAATCGCTGGCAGGCGACGCTCCCAAGCAGCACTCCCGGTCCTTGTGCGACACCCTGCACGGATCCGATCCACGTGGTGTCGCCGTAGTCTACCGACAGGCCGAGCCGCACGTGCAGGTAGGACGTCATGTAGGTGGTGAGGTTGCCGTATGTGTACATGATGCCCAGCGAGAGGTGAACCAGGAATCCAGCGGCCACGGAGATGACGCCGCCGCGCGGCAGGCGGCGCGCTCCATCCCAGAGACGCCGTGCGCGCGAGCCGACGTCCATGTCGTCCGGTCTGCTGATCTGCTATCTCTGCAGTGAGTTTCCCTTGAACCGCTACCGCTGCCGCTGTACTAGACCTCCGCGAACCCGCTGTCGACAAATGCGTATGGTAAAGTGAGTTATAGAATTGTCGTGAACGTTACACATGGTAGTACGGTCGGCTACAGTTTGATCAACAGGGACTCTTATTGGCCCATGCATCACTGGAGTGATGCATTGCCCAGCATCCAAATCGACCCTGCACCAGTATTTGAAGACTACCTTGAAGCTGAAGTGCTCAGCCTCAGGATGCAGACCTGGCTTCCGTGGTCCAGAAGTGCAGGCAGCTGGATTTCGCCAAGATCCACAAACACTGGACCATTCAGGACTAGATGTGCGTCCTTTTTAGTGAAGAGGTGCCCTTTGTGCTCTTTAGGTCCCGAACTACCAGAACGATCGAAATGTGGGCCAACAGCAGCTCTGAGGAGTCCGCTATCGAGATCGTGAAACATCTGCTGAAGAATCTCATGTGGAGCATGATGAGCTACAGAGGCTCTCTGATCTTTACGAGGTGCCGCGGGGACAGACCGTGACTGCTGATTACTATGTCAGGGAGGTGCTGAAGAAGATTGCTGCCACAAATATGCTGAGGAAAAAGGTAAATGGTTCAAAAACCAGTCAAACTTTCGTCGGATATGTCCAGGGCTACTTTCCAGCAAGAAAGGGCTCCGAGCTTATCACGCCAGGAAGACCCAGGACTGGTGCCGAGCGAGGTTCCCAGGCCTCTGGGAGAAGGGGACATGGTCTGGCAACAGTCTGGACCTGTTCCCGATACAAATTATCTTGACGATCGTCAGAAAAGAGCTCAGCAAGCTTCCACCGGCTAGCTCAGCTCAGAGAGGAGGCTGCTAGAAGTTATAAACGGCATGGCGTAGTTTCAAAGGAGAGACTCTTGAAAACCTGAAATAGTGAAACGTGACACGCTGGAGGCCGTGTATGCGACTGAATGGGGACTATGATAACATGAACCGTGAAATAAATTCGAGTACTTTATAAGTTATTGAGGATAAAGCAGTCGCGCATCAATTTCGGAACATCCTGTAGGTTAGGCTAACAGCATTTGGTGCAATACGAAGTAAGGGAACCGTGCGCCGAGTTCTCACCTGAAGTGGTAGGTACACCTGATCGGTGTATGAACGAGTCCGCGGATGGTCGATCGCAGCGAGAGACACGCCGATGGCAGTGCTTGTGCCGACTGCCTCCGTGCTCCCAGAGCTCAGATTAATAAGCGCTCAGATTAACAATGCGTACGTATCTCCGCACTTGAGCATGATAATTAAGATCTCCCGAAAGTATCGGTGCATTTAGAGGACGGCGCCACCTATCCAAGCCTCGGTCGAGCGGAAAAGTTTGAGGGTCACCACAGCGGGCTCTTGTCTGAAAGTTTCTCGTTAAGTGGGTGGCCACGGGCCGTGCGTCATCAGACACTCTGGAGCGCACTTGAGGAATATTGTACTTGAACGACTATGGGCCCAAAACTAACGGTGTCTTCTAAATACGGTGATAGGGTTCAAGCAGTTAACACGCGCTTCGTTGGACTATTCCCGGATGCTGCCGCCAGTTGGGATCTTATCATGGTAGCCATGACACGCGTAGTTTGTGATCAATCGGAATCCATTCTTCGCCAGCTGGGCTCCAAAGCCAATAATGCAGAAACACTGACCTTGACTAGACCTGTGACCTGCTAACAAAAAAGATGTGCACAATGCCCCTAAGATCCTTCTTGTGAGCTTTCTATTACCGCTTTCTCCTCTTTCTACGGCCATCCGTTCGGAAGTTGACAAGGGGCACAACCTGTACCCCTCCCAGCAGGACGATTTCGGCTAAATAGGTACAATAGCTCGGCGTGGGTTAGGTATAGGTATAAGTAATTATCATGAGTAAGGATGATTTGCAAACAGCGCACAGGTGCTGAGGAGTTCCATCCCCGGAGAAAATACATGCTGCTGTGTCATGTGTGGCAGTCCCTCCGTTATCAGATCAGGGTCGAGTGCCCAGATAGCGGTGGTGTTAATCTGGGCCAGGTGGCAGTCAGCCGGTGGAAGTGACGCAGACGGGTCTCGGCGATCGCAGTAGGACACGTATAAATACTGCAGCCAGGTGTGTAATAGGGTGCAGGAGACAACAACTCGTAACACGATCCTGTTGTCAATTAGCATGCTGCTATAGTTATGCTATTAGCACAGCCAAAGCACGGTTGTATGCATGCATACGACGAGTATAGCTATGTGCATGGATCCGGGGGAGGGATCTTGGATTAGATCCCAAGGATTTTGATGTCGGATCCAATGGGATCATAGAGATCTGGCTCTCATATTTGTGAAGAGATCCATTGGGACCATAGATAAGATCTGAGCCCATTTTTTGTCTTGAGATTTGGTGAGATCATATATCATCACATTTGTCGAAAATATTCAAGGATCGCATGCTGAAATACGTATATAGTTCTGCTTCAGGGATATGTGATCGCACATTTCAGTACATAGTTTTGTGGCATTTAGGTGTTGACATGAAATCACATAGACATATGGCTGCAGAGGTTGCATATGGTGGGATCCACTCGGAGCATGTATTCATGTTCTTTATTTTTTCGTCAGACCCTATGCAATCATGTATCTAGGACATATTTTCTTATATTTTTTATAGGTTCCAACGGATACACAGATCATAGTTCGTCGTTTGTTTTCAGATCAACTGGGATCATAGATCCAGCGCCCAGATCCACGCACATGTATGGTTGTAGGTATGCTGCAACAATTAGTTTACAATTAGTTACAATTAGTTACAATTAGTTTTTAGGACCTATGTAACGGGCAGCATGATAAGTCCCAACAATATAAATGTCATTTTTTGTGATGCAATGAGATGTAAGCGGAATGTTTGAGTGGACAATGGACATATTATTTCATAGAACATGATTTTTTCTCATTCCATCCCACTGAACGTAAATAAATCATAGGCACATTACGATCCAACGAATTATTTGAACAAATTAACATTGCAAGCATTATCAGAGAGCGCAATACATATCGTTTTGGCGGAACCATTTCAGCCAGATATCGATCCAAGCGCAATCTGTTCAAACACATGACCGAGCCGTATCTCATGCACAATGCGCACGCCTATCATATCGCGATACCAATTCCGTATCTCATCAGCTGCATTTGTTGACAGCGGTCCAGCAAAGGCCAACTTCCGCTGTAGCGGCTCAGCGGTGTCTCAGCACAGTCAGCAGGTCGGCAGACGCACGGACGACATGGACGGCGGCTCGCGCGCACGGCGTCTCTGGGATGGAGCGCGCCGCCTGCCGCGCGGCGGTGTCATCGCCGTGGCCGCTGGATTCCTGCTTCACCTCTCGCTGGGCATCATGTACACATACGGCAACCTCACCACCTACCTGACGTCCTACCTGCACGTCCGGCTCGGCCTGTCGGTGGACTACGGCGACACTATGTGGATCGGGGCCGTGCAGAGTATCTGTCAGGGTCCGGGAGTTCTGCTGGGAAGTGTCTGCTGTCGCCGATTCGGGCCTCGTCTGACGATCCTTGCTGGAAGTGTGCTCTGCTCGGTCGGAATGGCGCTCACATGCCTAACCGTACAGACGTCGTTTGCCACCACGACGCTGTCGTATGGCTTGATGAGTGGGGTCGGTATCGGCCTGGCTTACACATCGCCACTGATGGTTGGTTACCAGTGGTTCCCGCACAACCGCGGCGTGGTCAGCGGTGTGGTGGTCGGGGGTTACGGCCTCGGCAGTATCATCCTCACCTCAGTGCAGACCAGCTACCTGAACCCAGAGAACGTCTCGCCAGAGGACGACGGCTTCTTCCACGACGATGCGCTGCTGGACCGTGTGCCGTCGTTGTTCCTGATACAGGGTGCGATTTGTGCTGCTCTGCAGTTGTGTGGAGTGCTGGGCGTGCGTCGTCCGCCACCAGGACATGGTGAAAAACTGTCCGAGGAGACTGAAGTGAAAAGCGACGCACCGGGAGCTAAAGATGCCGGCGATAGCTTGCCAGAAAAGCTAGGCATCGCGGAAGACCCCGAAGAAGACGATCCCAAAGCATGGAGGAAACATCTACTAACCATTCAAACCCTCCAACTCTTACTCGGCTTCGTAATGAACGCTTACGGTATGGGCACTGTGAACTCGTTCTGGAAGGCCTTTGGACAAACGTTCATCAAGGACGACCACTTCCTGGCGATGGTGGGCATCGGCTCTTCTGTATTCAACATGCTCGGACGCATGGTGTGGGGCCTCGTGTGTGACGCCTGGGGCTACAAGCCAACAATGGTAGCCATCACCGGTCTCCTGGGCGCCCTCCTCTTCACCTTCCCCTCAACGTCACTGGCCAGCCAAGGGATGTTCCTTGTCTGGATGTGGTCCATCTTTTTCTGCGTATCGGGCACCTTCTCTGTGGTTGTGACGGGCACCGCGGCGACGTTCGGCTCCCAGCACGCGGGACACATCTACGGTGTCATCTTTCTCACCTCCGCGCTGTGCTCGCCGCTGGTTTCGTACGCCGCCGAAGTTGTGCTCGAGCAGTGGGGGTTTGCCGAGGTGTATCTGGTCGGTGGAAGCTTGGTCTGCATTGGCCTTGCTGCGACACTCACATTCAAGTCTCGCGGGAACGTGAAAGACGAACCTCCGGCTGCCGAAGCGGAGGTATCGGCCTTATAGTGCTCAATGAAAACAATGTAATAGGTAATGTTTCTACACAAGACTGGTTTACAAGCGACTGAACACAGTGTGAGCAAAATGAAATATTCTAGCTGGGCTCGACTTTTCAACACTGTCATGATCCGAGAACTTATGATTGACAACTTTTCAGCTTTGTCGGTCTCTCTCTCTCTCTCTCTCTCTCTCTCTCTCTCTCTCTCTCTCTCTCTCTCTCTCTCTCTCTCTCTCTCTCTCTCTCTCTCTCTCTCTCTCTCTCTCTCTCTCTCTCTCTCTCTCTCCCTTCCCAGTTCCCCCTCTTTTTCTCTCTATCTCCTTCTCCCCCTCTCTCAACAGCGACAAACGTCGCTGATACTTCCTATTCTGCAACGACCGTGCCGCATTCCCTTCGGATGTCGTGTTGCAGCGATCTTGTAAAACTTAACCCTAGAACGCCTAGGGGGGGGGGGTTGTATCAACCCCCCCCCCTGAGGTTTTTTTCGAAGTGCACGCTAAACGGCTTGTCGTAGCGGGCTGAAATTTTCAATACCCTCTGGGGCAACCTTTGCGCATCTTTTGCCGAAAAAAATTGATCGGGTCATGTCAGGTCACGGAGTGACGTCATAAGAGGTACAGCCTCCGGCCGACAGTTACCAAACGTGTGCGCCGAATCCCTAGGTTTTCTGCCGGTGATACCCACATTGTTTGATGGATCATGATGAAACTTCCCATGCATGTTGGGGCAAGCATTGGCTATCGTGTGGTGCAAGAAAATTGACCGGGTCAGGTCAGGTCACGGAGCTATGACGTCACAAGAGGAACAGCGTCCGGTACTATTTTTGAAAAGCGCCCGAACCACTATTTTGCTAATTCTTGTCACCTCAATGGGAATATGCAGCAATATTAGCTTCTATAGGGAGCAAATGGACCTCCCAAATCCAAAAATACAATCAGATTTCAAAAATTTAAATTTTGATTTTTCGAATTTCTGCCGCCGACTGTGACCTTGCCGACTTCCGGCGCTCCCAACGCGCCATTTTTAGAGCTATAGGGAAACGAAATACATACCAAACGATAGAGAATTGATCAAGGAACACGATAGTGAAGGTTTCAAGTCGATATCTCCCACCGTTTTGCCGCAATCGCCGCGGAAAGTTGAAAAAGTTTGATTTTTTTCGGAAAATTTGACCTTTGACCGGTCATAAGTAGGTCAAATGTTGACCTAGGACCAAAAAATATACCACCAATCGCGAGATCTCGTTGAGAGCAATCCGTTGTTTTTTTTCCGCTAAGCTCTACGACCTTCCGTTTCGAAACGCCAGGGGGGGGGGTCGTAACAACCCCCCCCCCCTGGTCGTTCGTGTTATGAGAAATGGCCTGGTCGTGCGAGGGTTAAAGCATACAAGTGCGATGTGACATACAGTCATTAAAATTAATGGCACAGAGCGTCGCAAGGATATGATTGTGTTTTGAAATGCGCTGATGCACTAATAACTATTAGCACCTATACGTTTTGTCACGAATGCAAGCATTGCTTAGTGCTGGCACTTCAACCACCGGTGGTTGACTCAATGACAATACTGAAAAAAACATTGTAACGTGTAAACAAATACATAAGATACCCCAAAACGTCATAGCGTGTATTTCCCTTCAGTCCCGCGAAAAGGTTAAAAAGTGCCCGTGTCCGAAAATGCAGTCATTTTTTGGAATGTATCGATTGTCAACCCACTTTAGCAGCTGGTTCGTTGTCCTTTCCTTTCCCACTGAGCAAGTACAAGAAATAAGAACACATATTGAATGACCCATTGGCCATCGTGTTAGGTTAGTTTCCTATTTCGTACGAAGCTTCAACCATGGATGATTTCAACTATCTCACTTATCCTGTGCCCCGTAGGGGGGGGGGGACGGTCCCTTCTTCTCATATTCTGTCGATATCTCCCTAAAGTACAGCAAATATCGCTCCCAAACTTTCAGGATCCCTCCGGGCACTAATTTTTCACGTTGGACCCATTTTTCCAAATCTATGATAGGTTAGCCAAAAATGACGTCAAAATAACGTCATGTTCTGTCATTTTCGACCCAAAAAAGGTTCCGCAGGAAGAGCTGTCACGCCTACAGCTTTGAAGGTATCGAAAAAGGTCCAAGAGATTAAAAATGTAGGATTAAACGCGCCACAAAACTATCTCGAAATTGTGAAATTTTGGAAATTTGACCTCCAAAAAAAAAAAAAAACATTTTTGGATATACCTACCTAATACCCTCAAAATCTCCCAAAAAACTATCAAAACTTTGAAAAGCCGGAATATATGCTATGGAACCCAAGCTTTTAAATCGATATACAAAAGTTAAGATCAACACCACGTTTTTTGGCTAGGTCATGGCTCTTCTCAAAATTGATGACGTCAAATTTTCAAACTCAATTTTAGCCGTTCTAGACCACGAAACGCAAAACTAAGACCACCATTGGATTCCCCGTGACAAGCTGCATCGAACAAGCACCCGTTTTATGCAAAAATATCAACTTTTAATTTTGACCGTTTTTTACCCGACCTTCACCAGAACGTAATTAACTACCCCATTGAATCTGAAATATAAAATGGACCATAAAACCTGCATAGAGAAATTACGTCAAAAGCCTACATCCTTTCATCAGAGAGTGGAGTTACAGGTCGAAATTTCGAGTACCTAGTAAAGTAACCTGAGAAATTTCAGCCCCTGGCCTTCATGATCGTTTCGCGAACTTTTTGAACAACCCTCGTGTCGAACAAATTTGCCATTTATTGATCAAAACGGCCTTAGCCCTTAGCACGGCGTCTTGTTTACACGGCAGAAGAAGGGAAGCGTGAGGGCGCAGGACACATCATCTGCGCCCTCTCTGTCCATTTGGACGCAGTGCTCGTTGCCTCCACTATTATCAGGCTGACCGTCCTTCCAGGTGACGTTCCAAGCTGAGCCATCCACCGACTGGAACTCGCCCTCCGTCTCCCGGTCTGAGAGACCCACGAACACGGCCGACGGCGGCGAGAAGCTCTCGTAGAGCACGCGGAACGTGGCAGGGTTGACGAAGGCGGCCAGCCGCGCGCCCGTCTCCATTGTGGCGCAGTGATCGTCAGCCTGCCGCCAGCTGTGGGCGCTGGAGACGTAGTGGTAGCAGTAGTCGCCCATACCGAGCCACCCTGCCGGACAGGGCCAGCCGGATCGACAGAGCAGCGGAGTCTCGCAGATGTAGACGGGGATCATCAGCGAACAGTTTCGGGCTCGGATCTCGTTCTGGAAGGAGTATCTCACAGCGAAACAGGCGTCCTTGGTGTCCTCTTTCAGAACCATTTCTTCTGGCGGAGTCGTGCCGTCGACGTTTAGTATTTCCCCATTCAAGCGAAGCGCGCCTACTGACTCGCTGTGGCGCGAACGAGACTCGCGATGCAGCAGCCACGCGACCTCAACCATATCATTGACGGAAACCAGGTCAGAGTTGGCACCACGCGCCAGGCAGGCGGCGCGGGCATCCTCCCAGACGAGCTCATCCAGCACCTCCAGGTAGCAGCTCTCGCGGAAGAAGTGCCACCCAGGGGGGCACGGTTCACTGGGCGGTCCCATCCGTCTATACTGCACCGGTGTGCTGCCCGGGGGAAGCACACTCCCACGTGAGATTCTGGAGAAGGTGAGACAGGTGCCGTTTTCGGCCAGAGTGAAGCCCTCACAGTCGGCGCGGTTCCGTCGCTCGCAGGAGATCGCGCAGATGATCGCGGACGGAGCGACTGATGAGAATTCCGCTGTCCGCGAGTAGGCGTTCGGCCAGCTCACGTAGGAGCCGCTAAGGATTGGCCGACTGCAAACGCCGAGGAGTAGCAGAGTGAGCACCCTCATCGCGCGAGCCCTGAGCCGCAACTGAGCCGACCGCAGTGAGGAATATCGAGGGAAACTCGACTGCCCAGCAACGGCCGAAACATTGTGGCAGGAGGTCGTGGGGAGCAGTAATTACGATAAAAAGTTTCAGCGCTGTTTACAGGCCGAGGTAAGACAAATTATATGGTGGATTATAGGAAACTGTGTAGGAGGTGACAGCTGAAGTTCGTTATTGAAAGAAGAGACGCTCACGTTGGTCATTCATTACTTTTCAGGTTTATGTGCAAGAAACTGCAGAATACGACTTTGTACTTCAACATACAAGTTTTGATGGTAAAATATCGCATATTAAATAATTAAAACTTATGCATTAACCTTCGCCCCAGTGGGGGGGGGGGGGCATATGTTACAACCTTGTCGCGTTTTTTTCGTATAAATAAAAAACCGCGGCGCGTCGCGCCGCGCCGCTTGGCGTAGCTTTTGGTACATCAATTTTGGACAATGTGTGAAATTTTTGACCCCAGGTCATGGCAGGTCAGGTCGCCAGGTCAAGTTAACTGACCAAGCCTAAAAAAGTTTGCAATCATGTCCAGCCTGCAGTGTTTGTCAGAGAGGTTTTAAACTTGGTGGATTACATGATGTTATGGGTGCCCACAATTTGTATATCTCGGATTTTTTATATGCGTGACCTAAGGTCAGGTCAGTGGCGTGACCTTACCATTATAGGGGAGAGCGGGGCCAGTTGAAACACGGGGTCAGATGAAACATGGCTTTATTTTCAACAGTATGCAACATATGGCGTTGCCGATACCACTGCGCATCCGCGCTCGACCACTTCCTTTGTCAACGGCGTTTGGGCGGCAAACGGACGGTAATTTTGATTTGACACTTGTTTTTGTGTTTTTGAGGGGCGTTTGGGAGAAATCGTTTTTATGAATATTTTGTGATATCTCATATACCTTTGTTTGCTGAAAGAAGAACTCCTGGCTTCGGAATAACACCTTATTTGGCCCTTCATTCAGCATGATGCCGTCCCTCCAGCTCATTTGACATGTGCTTTACGTCGCGTGCGAGATGGCGGGAGCGGGTGGGGTCAATTGAAACGCTTCTCTGAGGGTCAGTTGAAACAGGGCCACAGGCCGTTTCAATGGACCCCGGTGACCTTTGCAATGGTTATTGTTCAGGGGCTGTAAACATTAAAGGAAATAGTCCACCTTTGAAATGAGCTTTGAAACTGAAATAGTAGTTTAATAGAGCTCAATTTTTGACCCCTTTTTCTCCAGCCTTTTGCTTGAAAGCACACTATAGCCTGAGATATTTCTCATTTTTCTCATCCGCCCATTTTACCATAGTCTATGTACTTTATGTCACCTATTATGAGGAACTTTGCACTTTTAGCTTTCCAACGACCTATTGAATGTAGCATTTGGAAAAGTAAACCGGACAAAATATCTCCTTAAGAAAGTGGCCTTAAAGAGGAAAACATCCCATTGTTAAGGATAGGTGCAATTGACCCCATGGGCTGGTTCAATTGACCCTCGCATCGGGGTCATTTGAAACGGGCGTAGAGCTGTTTTATAAGCATGCGTTTGGCCGCAAAATATGTTTGAAACATAATTTTACATATCTTAAAATAAAGCCAAAACAGCATATTTTTTCATGGCATTGTGCATTTTTCGATATGACAACTAGATCTCGCTGTGCATGTCAATATATAAAAAGTGGTTCAACTGGCCCCGCTCTCCCCTAAGTCAATGGAGAAAAACGAAAATGCCTCTAGATCCGTGTGTACGCATAGGAACAGTCCAAATATTTCAGGATAACAATGATGTGGACCACCCGTGACGACCAAGGTGTCTTTTTTTGCTGATAGCCTCTTGAAAGGTCATCCGAGGTCATTTGAGGCTACAAACAGTTTTTTTGCCAATAACTCTCGATTGGAAGAAGATAAAACGCTGGAGTTGGCCTCATTGTGTTTGTCTTGCCAAGACGCATCGACTGATATGCAGCATGACCTTTTCCAGTCAGGTCATGACCTTGACCTGAGGTCAAATTTTGAAGTTGACCTTTCAAGGTCAAATTATAGTTCATTCGACGCGTCTCGGCGAGAGGAACACGATTCTGGCATTAGAAATGACCTAGTTTTTTTTTTAGTCAAAAGTTATTGTCGAAAAACACTTTTCTTAAAAACAGCTATTTTTGGAGTTTTTGCCCTCTGGAGGCTAAACCGTTGACCTGAGGTCATTTTTGATGGACCTTATCAAAAGAAGAGTTCAAAAGCTATCGATTGCTATTTCCAGCGTTTTTCTAGCTATCATAGTTCCTGAGATAATGGCATGTTTTCTGAAAAAATATAATGACAATTCGCAAATTTTGACCTTTGATGACCTCTGGTGACCCTAGTATTGCTATGAGATGAAAAATGACCGAAATACTTTCAAACGTACGCATCAAGAGCTATCGACTGCTTTTTACCGTGTCTTTCTAGCCCTCTTAGTTTTTGAGTTAGAGGTGGGTGGTAACATATGCCCCCCTCCTCCCCCCCCCCCACTCACTAGGGCGAAGTTGGCTGAGACCGCCACTGGGGCGCGGGTTAACAAGCTTCTCAGCTCTAACAATGCAAAGGTTTGTATAAATTGAGAGGATGCACTTTCTTGCGTGCTTGCTCCAACTTAGCTCCTTGAACCAAACATTTTTTTAAGGGTACGGTGCTGATTCCAAACCAGCTGAGGACCAGCGTGCTGGCTCCGCAATTATAAGCTCGCGTTGGAGCCTGGCACTGCCAACACCTGGGCGGCCCCAATGTCATACCCGTCATTTCCCGAAGCGGGAAGCCAGTAACGATAGACATGCGGTCTGAACTGCACTGTCTGGTTAAAAATGTGAGGGTACTTACGTTTTTCAAAACTCCTGATCCTGACTCTGAGACGGAGTGATCGTTCAAGATTCATATGTAGGTACGTAGGTTACAGTATACCTAATATTTCGGATATGTGTACAACGCGTAATGTGTGAAGGTGCATTTCAATACCGGGTTACGTATACACACGCTTTATGGAGGACATCTACACCATTTTGCCTTCAGAGGCCTGTTTCACTAACAAATAAAGTGTGTAATTACAAAGAAAAAACTTGAGTTTAAAAGAAATATTTACCAACATTTGAAATTTGGATTTCACGAAACCTCCGAGCATTAATTTTGAGTTTAAAATTTACCAACTTTTTTACAAGAAAAAAGTTTGAAAGAAACATCGAAATCGCATACTTTCTGTTTCACGAAGACCAAAAACTTGAAAGAAAACGTTGTAATTACAAACACGAAATTCCAGTGGCTCTTACGTTCGGAATTTTATTAATTTTTGTGCAATGAAGCAAAGCAATCAATTATTTAAAACAAATATGATATGCTGAATCATTATATGCTCTTTTTTACTTACCACAATCCCTATGAACCAGCTACGAGCAATAAATAAATATCGTCATGTTTTGTCATTCGCGCGCCATAATTGCATTCAACAGTCTTCTGCTGTCAAATGTTTTGGGTGTTATTTTCTTTCAATAATAAAATATTGTGAACTATCATTTATACCATTTAGAAACAGCATCATTATTTATAATTTATTCATGCATCTTTTGACATGAATACTAGACATAATTTGATAAGAAGAAGCAATATCTGTAACATGTTGTAGTTCTTGATTAAAAACATTTTTACTGTTTACAAGTTTTTTTGCAAACTCTTTTTATCGGAGGTGCCGCTGATGATGAAGTTTAGTGAAATCCGATTTTACATAGTTTGCAAAAATACTTATGAATTGTAAAGTTCAAACACTTGTAATCGCAAGTTTTTAGTGAAACAGGCCTCAGTTTGAAAAAGTTAAAGTTCAATTTGAAAAAGATGTATTTCAATTTGAAAAAAAAAATGCAATGCAAATCGAATGGCACGTGTTTCAAATTGAAGTGTACCTTTTTCAAATTGAGCTTCAGCTTTTTCAAACTGAAAGCAAAAAGGTGTAGAGATTAAAATAATAATAATAACAATCATAATTGACTTAAATTTTGCACCATGTATTGTCTTAGAAACATACTACTACGACTGAGCCTATCGTAATGAAACTGAATCCTGAGTAAAATTCATGAAGTGAAACACATCAACCTCACGAGAAACACTATGAAACACACTGTACAATGTAACAATGAATGAATGACTTCTGGAAACTTGCTGAAAAGCAACTATCATATCACAATAGCCGGAGCTGCAGAAGCTCGGTACATTAAACAATCCTTTATCTACATGTCTTTGAAAAATGCTGAACGCCGAGCCTCATGATCAATGCCCATCCAACATTATAGCGCCACGGCATACACATCTTTGGCAGGTTTGGTCTGCTTACAGTTGACGGCGAGATTCTGAGTTGTCAGACTAGTGAGAATGCGTGCCACAGCCTCTGCTTGCATCTCATTTGTACTCAATCCTGGATTAACGTTTCAAGAATGGGTATTAGACTGCGGTAACAGTTGATGTTCAGTAATCAAATCTATTGTTGGGTTACCGCTACGCAAAAAAGGATAGCCGAGAATATGATAAGGCGGGGAAAATAACTACATTTTGGCGACCCAAGTGTCACAGATCTAAGAGTTGCACCAATGGCACTTGTGGTCTAGCTTATACACTCTATAGTTAAGGCCGGGACTTATCCGTCTACCAAACGTCACAGCCGCTGAGTTCCCTGGCGCCCGTGGAACGTTTGATATGCTTTACTCCACACTAAACCTCACCACCTATACGCAGCAAGAATGCCCTTTACGCACAGCAGCATATCATGAGCCCTGACAAAACGGGTTCGACGTCGCCGAAACTTGTGAGCACACAATGGCAGCATGCGGTAACGCTACCGAAACTTGGAAACACAATGGAAACACAACGACAATTTTACAGCCAATGAAGCGAGTCATATGTTTCATGACGCTCCTGAGCATCAGCACGAGCCGTGGCGTTTCTTGGATAGTGAGTCTTACGCTATCGGCCGGAGGGCCTTCCGCCATATACCGTCGAGCGCTCACCGGTCCTGGCGCCTCGACGAGAACACGGTACCGTCCTTTTCTCGGTGGGTTCGGGCGCGGCGGCCGGCACGGAGTAGAGCAGCAGCCGACAGTCTGGCGATAAGATGGAGACTCCCCGGCGTTGGACTGAAGAAGCCGTGTCCTCACACAATGCCCCTGAAAGCAGAATATGTTACCGCGCTATACAATATTTATGCAGAGTTTAAAGGTGACGTCACAAAAGGTAGATTGAGACTGATAATGTGACGTCACATACCGCGACTGCTAGCAAAACGAGTATACGGTTCGCTAGTGACGTCCTTTACGAACAATCTCGAATGCCTGCTGTGGTCGTAACGTAACCTGGATGTGGCAGCAGCTGGATCGGACATCCGGTAGACCTTCACGGCGCGGGGTTGACTGGTGCCATCCTCGCAGCCCAGATCCGTCTTGGTCAGGGTGTTCGTCACGAGCTGGGTGTTATTTTCGGAGGTGAACAGATAGAGGAGCTTTAGCTTCCGGAGGGCCACTGCCAGTCTGCGACACATCAGAAGAAACGGGACAAAATTGTCAGTCTCTGAGGCACAGTCAAACAGTGTCACTATCCAACCTGAGGCCAGTTGTACCGAATCAGAAACATCGCCGGATGCGGTTATGTTAACCCGCGCCCTGGTCACCTGCGCTATCTACATCAGCTGCCCGCATGACACTAATGGGAACGTATTAGCGCCGGCGAAAATCACGGGACATTAGTGAAAGGGCAGACTGCGGCGACCCCTAGGTTGATGAACAGCTAGGGAGAACAACATTCGACAGATGGCAGCACTAGACGAGATAATCAGGCAATACTTTAATACTAGGTCACCCTCCCGCGCCTACCGGCGCTAATCGTCGTATATAGAAAACCCTGCCCGTCCTAGGTCACCCTCCCGCTCCTACCGGCTTTAATCGTCGTTTGAACATCTATATAGAAATCCCTGCCCGTCCCGTCCATAATGCCCGCTTCTCTCTCTGTCTCTCTGTCTCTCTGTCTCTCTGTCTCTCTGTCTCTCTGTGTCTCTGTGTCTCTGTGTCTCTGTGTCTCTGTGTCTCTGTGTCTCTGTGTCTCTGTGTCTCTGTGTCTCTGTGTCTCTGTGTCTCTGTGTCTCTGTGTCTCTGTGTCTCTGTGTCTCTGTGTCTCTGTGTCTCTGTGTCTCTGTGTCTCTGTGTCTCTGTGTCTCTGTGTCTCTGTGTCTCTGTGTCTCTGTGTCTCTGTGTCTCTGTGTCTCTGTGTCTCTGTGTCTCTGTGTCTCTGTGTCTCTGTGTCTCTGTGTCTCTGTGTCTCTGTGTCTCTGTGTCTCTGTGTCTCTGTGTCTCCGTGTCTCTGTGTCTCTGTGTCTCTGTCTCTTTCTCTCTCTCTCTCTCTCTCTCTCTCTCTCTCTCTCTCTCTCTCTCTCTCTCTCTCTCTCTCTCTCTCTCTCTCTCTCTCTCTCTCTCTCTCTCTCTCTCTGACTTTGTCGATCACTGATCCAATCGTATGCTTACTTACCCCTCCCCATCCGTCTCTCTCCCTCCTCTCCCCGTCTCCTTCATCGCACTTCTTCGCTCCCCTCCCTCCCTCCCTCCCTCCCTCCCTCGATTTCCTCCCCTTCCCTCCACTCCCTCCCTTCCCCTCCTCTCCCCTCCACTCCAATCCCCTCTTGGTACTGAAAAAAAAGTACTGGCTAGTGGCTTCTTCCCCGCCCGCGCCGCAGATGCATATACGTTTTTATGTCCCAGTTCAAGACGCTATACGCGTATGTATATTGGTACGCTCGTAATAGGTCACCCTCCCGCGCCTACCGGCGCTAATCGTCGTTTGAACTATTTATATACACTGTGGTTTGAACATATATAAATCCCTGCCCGTCCTAGGTCACCCCCCCCCCGCGCTTACCGGCGCTAATATTCGTTTGAACATCTATATAGAAATCCCTGCCCGTCCTAGGTCACCCTCCCGCGCCTACCGGCGCTAATCGTCGTTTGAACATCTATATAGAAATCCCTGCCCGTCCCGTCCATAATCCCGTCCATAATGCCCGCTTTTTCTCTCTCTTTCTCTCTCTCTCTCTCACTCTCTCTCTCTCTCTCTCTCTCTCTCTCTCTCTCTCTCTCTCTCTCTCTCTCTCTCTCTCTCTCTCTCTCTCTCTCTATCTCTCTTTTCCTTTCCCTTTCTCACTCCCTCCCTGCGCCTCCATCCCTCTTCCCTCCCTCCTCTCCGCTCTCTGACTTTGTCGATCACTGATCCAATCGTATGCTTATTACCCCTCCCCATCCGTCTCTCTCCCTCCTCTCCCCGTCTCCTTCATCGCACTTCTTCGCTCCCCCATCCCTCCCTCCCTCCCTCCCTCGATTTCCTCCCCTTCCCTCCACTCCCTCCCTTCCCCTCCTCTCCCCTCCACTCCAATCCCCTCTTGGTACTGAAAAAAGTACTGGCTAGTGGCTTCTTCCCCGCCCGCGCCGCAGATACATATAAGTTTTTATGTCCCAGCTCAAGACGCTATACGTATATTGGTACGCTCGTAATACTAAACATGATCGCTATTTTTTTCAGTATTTTGTGGAATTCTGTGACTAACCTATCCCAAATCTGAGTGACTCGCCCCGACCCTCCCCCGCCTTCCTCCCTCTGCACCCCCCCCCCCCCTGGACCCACCACTCACGATCGGTAATGTTTTCAGTGCTAAAGATATAATTATGCCTGCTCTGTTTCCGTCTCCGTCTTCCCTTTCTGCCTTTGTCTCTACTCTCTGTATCTGTCTCGTCTCGGATTCCATCCCCATCTCCGTCCCAGTTCCCGTCCCAGCTCCAATTCCCGCTCCCGCTCCCGCTCTCTTTCTCCGTCCCCGTCTTCATCCCCCTCCCGCTGACCGCTTCATCTCCGTCTCCGCCTCTGTCTCTGTCTCTGTATCTGTCTGGTCTCCGATTCCGTCGCCGTCTCCGTCCCCGTTCCCGCGCTCCCGCTCCCGCTCTCTTTGTCTCCGTCTCCGTCCCTGCTCCTCCACTACTGGCCGCTACATCTCC